ATCAGGAACCCACGTCGGGGCGGCGCCTGGCTGTTGGTGGGAGAAGGTCTGACCTCCCGCAGCGAATTCCCTGCGAGCTCCGTTCTTATCCGCAACCCATTGGCGAATATGTTGCTCGCGCTTCTTCCAGTTATCCAATGCACCAGTGGAGCTCCGTTTTCATGTTCTTCACCCTTTCTCCGAACACGAGCGACTCGCTCGCGTGTCTCGGACAATATACTCCATGGATGTTCAACCCCGCGCTCGCACATGAGTCAGCAACAGCTTGTTTGCCAGGGTTCATATGATAACTTTGCGCGCTGTTACGACACTGAACCTCCGTCTGACACTAGAAGCAATGACCTAAGCCCTGCTCGCACATAATGGAATCTCTTGCAAATGAATCCCCCGTCGTCGGTCCACAGCGGGCCCCTCAAGAGCTCGAGCTCGCCCCCGCCCCGCCGATTGTCACTGGGCCGAATGACTTCGTCAGTCTGCGTCCACCCAGCGATTGAATCATGGACGAACACAACTTCGAAGGCAATCCATTCCTGTGAGGAAACTAAGGTCCAAGTCACCTGTAGTGTAGAATCCCGTCGGCACAAGCGTACCGCCACGACAAATTCGGCATCGGGGGCGCCCCGTTACGCGCCCATTAAAGACGTTGACATGAGACCAACTAGCATTGGGTAGACCTGCAAGTTCCCAGAGCATTGGCGTGACGATGGCCGGCCACGAACCAGGAGCGCGGAGGCCCCTGCTCTTTCGGGTTGGAGCCCGGGCTCAAATATTATGTGGGCAGAGGGGCCGCCTCGTCCCTCCGCTGGCTGAGCCAAGGGGGGATGCACTCAGCATGTTCTTGGGAGAGGTCACGCCTCGTCGGCATGAGACGGAGATGCTCGTAATCGTCTTCCTTGCGTAGTCCTTCAGCTTTGTCAAGGCATCGGATGATCCCCTGTCCAGCCATCGGATCCTCGATGACGGGCATCGAGACCCGTCGCGCGCAAGAGCGGCCCATGGCATTTCGCCGAGCCGAGTTCATACGGAGCGCACGCGCGATATTGGGAACGCAACGCGCCCGCCCCTGACAGGCGCGATAAAACAACAGGTATTGGTCTGCGTCCACGCTTGTCTTTATCAATGGAAACCAATTCCTCCTCGCCGTCCTCATCGACGAATGAGCCGTGAGAGGCGGGTGGATTAAGGAAGTCTCGCCAATTATCCGCACGCGTTGAGCACGCCAGGACGTCGAGCTCCCGGGCTTTGATTCCGAGGACCTCCACGGTTCCAGGCGGCAGACCGTTTAAGCCGCGCACCGCCAGGGCAGTCGTGCAGTGCGTTAGTCCATCAGCTCCCACGTTATCAATGAGGTCTGCTGCATCGGCTCAGCCGGGGGCGCCCATGGGCATCGCGAGCGGGGACAGCGCTGCATTGGTCGTCTGTGGCAGACTGTCTGGCCAATCGTCCGATGCACATTCTGCCCGAAGGAATGACATTGCTCGCGAGAACTCTTCCACCGAAAGCTCGCCCAACAGCGCAAGCGCTGGATCGTGGAACAATTCGGCGTTTTCTCGAATAGCGTCGTAAGTGCGCCCGCGAGTCGCTGCCTGGCGCGGCGGCACTGGGCCAGCCCTATGGGCTTCAACAGTCTTCCATCGCAGATCCTGAGGTGTTCTCTGACGCATGTTCCCTCGCTCGGCATCCCCGAGATACAAGTAGTCCTTCCCTCCTGTGGACAACATTGCAAGATTAACGGTTCTCCCCCTTCCGGGGGGGCCCTGTTCCTTCGGACGAAGCTGCGTATATAATGGAGAAAGCGGGACATGCGCGCGCGCGAACAGGTTGACCAGCCCCGGTCCAGCGATTGCGCCCTCGCCAAGCTGCGCAGACAAATGAAACCTGTCTCCCTTATATTGGATGCGCAGTGGTGCATCAGCTGGTGAGATCGGACTCAGAGGGCCGCAAGTTGCTTCGCCGCATGAGTCATCTTACATATCGTCGACAACGCCGGTCAAACCGGGCTGCGCAACCGGCGCAGCAGCTCCCAGTGTCTCGGGGAACTCGGTGGGCATTCTAAGCTCCTTGTAGCGATCAACAATGAGTGTTCGTGACAAGTTGGCCTAATTCTTGTAGGGTTAAGAATATTCTTCTGGTGCGCTCTCCTTTTTTTTTCTGAGTCTCTTTCACGCGCCGTGTCGCTCGGGCGGTCAAATCCTCATGAAGGCGTCGAACTTCCTTCTCCGTCAGAAGTCGAGCCCCATGAAGTCGGCCCCCGCCAGGGCGCGCGTGCCAGAGCCGTGCCAATTCACTTGCCAGCGAAAGCCTGGAACGATATGCGCACGCCCCGGAGTAGGCGCCCCAGAAGGCCTCAGGCTACTGTTATAATTGCCGACGCGCGATCTTCACTTCCGAGATCCTTCGGGGGCGTGGACGGAACGTCAGGTGGGTCAACAACCGTATATTCCTCCTCGCTCTGCTCTGCCTGCGAATCACTCGCAGGCGCCGAATCCGCAGGGAAATGAACCTCCACCTTGGGCCGAGGCCTCGTCCGCACTTTCGATGTCGAAACCTTGGCGGCGGGTTGGTCAGTGCTGGCTGCGCCGGGCTGCGTTTCACGCTCGTCAGGCGGCCTGTCTGGTTTCTCCTCTTTGGGTTCCGAACTCAGGGTCTGCGGGTCTTCCGGCGCAGGCGAGGGAGCTGCAGCTTGAACCTTTGAAGAAGCAGCTCCCGCCCGAACGGGCGGCGCGGGCGGTCCCTTGGGAAGCTGGATGTCCGGCGGAGGTCTCTTCGCAGTAACCTCCTGGCCTTGTCCGCTGCCAATCGGCCGGGCCAGTGACTTCGGAGGCGTCGGTGGCCCGGGAGTGGGAGGCGGCTTCTCGGTCATCTGCTGCGGGGGGGCCTGGCTCGCGAGCGGTGGAACGGTCGGAGCCAGGCTCACAGCATGTCCACTACTGTTTGTTAGAGCCGATGATGTTGCCCTTGGTTCCAATGGAGGCGGCGGTGGCTTCGCAGGTACAGCCTGAACGCGAACTCCGACACCGCTCGGTGGAACCGGTGGTGTCTGGACCCTGGCCCGAAAATTATATACTTGAAGCAGGCGCGCCCGCCGGCTGAGCCGGCGGCGTAGCCTTCGCTTCAGTTCTCGTTTCGCCCGTGGCCGTCTTCTCTTGTGCATCCGAATGCTTTCATCCGATGCCCCGTCCAACAACGGGCGCAATGGAGTAATTGGGCATCCCTTGTATCTCTGGTGCGTCCAGATGTCCTCCATCGAGGGATCAAAATTAAAGTGCGGAGACGCGATATCTTGCCAGCTCATGGGCTGAAGGCCTGGAGCCCATTTACACTGTGCTGCTCTGACTCTCGGTTTCCGCGTTTCTGGCAGCATCCCTGAATCGTTCAACTCCGACATCCTTGTCAATGGCGCCACCTTCTTCAAGAAGATGTCGCATCAGCGTCCGAGCGCCCTGAGTCGCATGGAGTGCGGCCAAGGTCCATTGGTGGATGCATATCTCAGTCGTGACAATTTCGGCTGTGTCCTCCACGCACTTTTGACTTGGACGGCTGCTGGCTTTGATGTTCTTCGGCTTGCACCAAAACGCTACTCCGACTAAGTTCCAATAGCCGTCGGCAAACGCCCCTTTCGCCAGCGCGAATTTCCTATGGACGGAGGGGTCATCATCTTCGCACGGGAACGAGTACACCCTGACATTGCCCTGCTTCACGCCTCCCCCGCATTCGGGATTCGACGCAAGGAGTGAATGCCCATCGAGCAGGGCGTGGAACATGCCCACCGAAGGTTCACGAGACTGCCTTTGCCAGCAGCTTCCAGAAATTACCTCCCCCAACATGTCGCCAACGACCTTGAGAGGAAGTGTGAGCTGCACGCAGTAGCCGTTTTCTTTTGTGTTCTTGAACTGCAGCCTGTTCCCACATACTGTGGTCGGCAATTGGCTGGGGTTCTCCTGGCGCTGATCTATCACGTCTTGAAATATAGAATGTTGCCCAATGGGGAATCTCGCAAGCTGCGGAAAGCGTTGCCCAGCGGGTGGTCGGTTGGAGCATATGTTCCGCCAACCAGATTCTTCCCTTGAGCCGACTGATTTAGCCTGTCGCAAGCGGGTCCATGCACAATTGGATCGGCATGGTCGTATATTGGTTTCAAAAGATCCTTGTAATCTTATCCTGGACACACATTTTTCGTGGTACATCCGCGCTCCATAAACTTTCGTGCTCCCAAAAGCTTGGGGAACAAGGCCGTCTGTTCTCCCTTCTTCAAGAGCGTTGCATCTTGGCGTGGAAGTTCCCCCGGCCATAATCGCACGTCTTGGCCTCCCCATGGGGGATCTGTTTTCGTATTATTTGCCTTCCCGGGCACGCTCACAGCTACTCCTGTAGCATTCTGATGACATTTCTCCCTGATTCCCGCTCGCAGGCCTCTGGAGGAGTCTCTGCAACCAGTAGTCTAATGGGCTCGGAAGATCGTGCGCGACTCTCTGCTGCATTCACGGCTAAGCCGGAATCAGCAGCATTCACGGCACCAGCTGGTCCCCGTACGGCTGCGCCGGCAGAGCCAGCAGCTGAGCTGACGGCCTCCACCTCAGCCTTCCCCTGTTCGGCTGGGCCGACAGCGAACTGGGCAATCGCGGCACTTCCAGTCGCCTGTCTGGCTACGCCGGCAAGTGATTAATATGGTGGTTGTGAATCGTCGATATGTTTGACTGCTTCTTGCATGTGCTGATAGAATTCGATCTTCTGTCCGGGTTGCCTCAGGGTTTGCCCCTTAGGGGGCATTCTCCCCCTCTCCCTCCTCCTCCTCCTCCTCCTCTTCCGATTTCTCCTCTATCCTCCCCCTCTTGGGGTGCGACGTCTTGCCCGGCTCTTTACTCCACTGCATTATCCTCCACATCCCTGATCAGGGCAACTCCACTGCATCTGGGCTGGCAGGGTTATGCGAAGCACCTAGAATAAGATATAAGCTCTGCAGGATAATGATAGGCAGTGAGACGTGTGAGGAAGACCGCCTTCTTTTTGGGAATGGCCTTCATGGCAAAGATCTCGCCCGTTGCCGCATGCTTTACCTGCACGCGGCGTTGGCCGAGGCTGACGCAGAATGCGGCGATATCGATCACGTGCATGCAACATGCGACACGATCGACTGAGTGCATTGAGCCAGGCGGGCAACAGTGGGAACGCGCTGACATCCAGCATGCACGACAAGTTTGCTGCGCGGGTCCGAAGCAGAACTGCAGACACGTGTACATGGCGTGGGCACGAGTAGATACTGGCTCACAGGCCAATAAGGAAGCAATGAGAATAGCCAGCATCACAACGCACATAATTAGCCACTGAGACCACTCTCGTACTGGGGAGGACGCCCGCGGGGGTCCTGGGGGAGGTCCTGCTTTCAGGGTCGGTGGCACGAGCCGTAAAGCTTTTGCAATAAAACGTCGTCTGATGTCTACGGGGAGCACCGCAAAACAACTCAAACTTCTTACACTTTCCGGCCTGTGCTAGCCGCTTCGCGGCCATGGGACTTCCTCAACACTGGCGGAGGCAGAAGGGGGGATGGCCCAGGGGCGCCTATTACACGCATTCGCCAGGAAGCCTCGTCGAAGACGGCCTGCCCATGGCGGCACACCCACTACCTGGATCGTGAGTTAGGGGCGCCTTGGGTGCCAATCGGGGACTCGCGGCGTGTTTCTGAGGGGACTCTTGAAGCCTGAAACAGATCGTGAATCTGGGGCCTCTTGAAACCTCTGGGTACACAGTGTAGGACGTGGACGCGAGACCTCCCAGACGCTTCTGGGAGCTTATTGGGGGGCCTCCAGGACATTTTTGGAAGCATCTCGGGAGCCTCTTGGGGCTTCTTGGAGGTCTATTGGGGAATCCAGGTGACGTTCTTTTTAGGAGCGCCCTGAAGGCTTCCAGGAGATGTCGGGGGCATGTTGAGAGTTGGCTTGCAATACGGTCCAATGTTTATTCGGGTAGGTTCGATATGGAAACGGCTTTGTCGCCACTCCGTCGGCCCAGGCTTTTCACTTGTGGGGTGGGCGGATCGCGTGATTTGGTGGTTTGATCTTGCTTTGCGGGAGGGATGAGGAAGGACGGAGGAGGGACGTTGGTTAGGCCCTTTGCAAGAACTTGCGGGTCTCGTCGCGCACGCGGCAGATCATGCCCAAAACATCTGCATCTGTCATCCGAACAGTATCCGAGGGGCCGGAAACATCTCCAAACATTCCCTGAACATCTCCGAACATCTCCAGGGCTGGCGAAACCATTTCCGAAGCATTTCCGGAACATCTCCAAGGGGCGAAGACATCTCAAAAACATCTCCCGAGCATCCCCGAATCATTGTCGGGGGGCGAACACATCTACAAACCATCTCTGGAATATTTCCGAAACGTGTCCGACGTACCTCGCGGAATCGAAAAACGATGCGGTCACGCCTTCCGAAAAAGCGGCCGCGCGAGCCGGATTCCGTTTACGGAGCGAACTTCTCGTGAAATTATACAAATTACAATGCAGAGCAATGGTGGTCACGCGCGCCCGATTCCGATCGCGGGCCAAATCTCGCTCGGCAAAAATCTCCAAATATCCCCTGAACATCTCTCAACATCTCCCGGGGGCGAAAACATCTACAACACATCTCCAGAACATCTCCAAACATCTCCTGGAGGCGAAACCATCTGCAACACATCTCCGAACGTGGCGAACACAATTACAGCGCATCTTCAGACCATGTCTTAACATCTCGGCGGGGGCGAAGATCTACAAAACATATCCGGCGCATCTCCGAAACAGCTCCGGGAGGCGAAATCATGTCTCATGTCTGCCCCATCCCGCGTCGATGGCTTTGTCGCTGCGGTTGGAGTCGTGGACGTGGCCGGAGATCGGCGTTCGGGGCGCGTGGCCGCCAGCGCCGTGGCGTTGGGTGTTTGATTCGGGGCAGGTTGATGTCGCGGGCGTCGCAGCGTTGGATGCCGTGCTGGGCGGCTCTCTTCACGAGAGGGCCGAGCACAGCATCCGAAACGCAACGCAGCTCAAGAATGACATCTCGGCGGGCAGAGTGCCCCGTAATGCACCCATGCTTCGGGCAGGGACTCCCTGTGCCCGTTTGGAGGCGATCGTTTCGAATATTATTTGGACAGGCTTCCCCAGGCCATGAGTCGGGCCCTCCCCCAAGAGAGTGCCCCACGACTCGTCGTGGCACCCTGTTGGAGCCATCTTGGCCTCCTTTGGATCGTCTTGGGGCCGTCTGGGGCCGTGTTTGGGGCCTCGGAAGCCGTAGAGCCTCTTGGGGCGCTTCTTGGACCGTCTGAGACCCTAGCTGTCAACAACCGGCGAAGCGAAAGTGCCAGACAAATACGTTTTCCAACAGAAAGTTGGTGATGTTTGCCTCTCGAGGCTCTCGGGAGGCCTCTTGGAGCCCTCGTGGGCCTCGTGCCCCTTGTTGACGACATCATGGGGCGTCTTGGAGCGGTCAAGGAAAAGCTTCGGCGTTCTTGAGTCCTGGCGGCCTCTGGAGCCGCTCGGGGGCTCTCAGAGCCCCCCTAGACTGCACGGGGCTCCCATGCGACCCCCTGATCCTTGTCAGCCCCCCTCCGACCTACTCCGACATCCTATATACATATACTTGTATAGATGTGCAACAATGAACGCATGTATACATAATATATATATATATATATATATATATGAACGTACCTATGATCATGTATATATATATATACATGTATACACGCATACATGGACGTATGAGAATTTGTAGATATACATAAATAGAGAACCAATATATGTGTGGCATGTAAAGAGTCATGCGTGCGTATAGATGTATGTAGGTATACGTGCGTATGTGTATATATATACATATGTATGCATTGTAGTGTTATAGATGTTTCACTACATGTAGGCATACATAAATACATGCATACACCCATACAGCCAAACACACGTGCATGCATACATACATACCAGCATACATGCACACATGCACAAACGTCAATGTCTGCATGCATACATGTATACGTACATGCACATACATGTATGCAGACATACACATGCATGCATACATGCACACATACGTACATACACTCAGTCAGCAATGACTGCATGCATACGCGCATGCATACGTGCATGCATACATGTAGGCATACCTTACATTTAGGTATATCAGCATGGGTATATACATACTTGTATGGATGTATCAGTGCATGAGTGCACCAATACAATCCTACATACATACAACAGACATGCATCCCTACATGCACACATCAGCAAACGCATACGCACATATATGCATCAACGCGCCTACGTAAATGCAGACATGCATACGTACATGCATACATACATGCATGCAAGGCTACATGCAGTACATGCATGCGTGCCTGCATTCAGGCATGCACACATACATCCAAACATATACAGAGACAGGTGCGCAGACAGAAACAGAGACAGCCAGGACGGCATGCGTACACACGTACGTACATGCATACATGCAAAAATACCTGCACACATGCATGCATACATATACGCACATGCATACATACATGCATGCCTGCTTACCGGCATGTATACATACATGCATACATACACACCTACGCGCTTGCACGCGCACACACATTTACATACATAACTCCATACGTACACACATACAAACATGACTACATACACATATACATACCTACACACACGCAGACATACAAACCGACATACATACGTGCACGCACGCATACATGCATACATGCAAACATACATACCGATGCGTGTAACTGTAGAAACATGTTACTTGTACAACTACATATATATATGAAACATACGCAGGTATATATATATATATATATATGTATGTCAACATGTACGTATCCGTATACACACATCACTATAATGAATCGATACCAACATATACCCGGCTGTGCACAGGACAGCACCTGATACGCACTAGTGCTTCACGCGGAGCAATGGAAGCATAGCAATAACACACGGGGAAGGAGGGGAAGAAAGAAACAACACTCTCCTGCTCCTCCTGCTCCTCACCTCCTCCTGCTCCTCACATCCTCCTGCTCTGGTCTTCCTCCTGCTCCTCACCTCCTCCTGCTTTCTCCTCTGACATTTCCTCCTCCTCCTCCTGCCTCCTCATCCCCCTCCTCCTCCTCCCCCTCCTCCTCCTCCTCCTCCTGCCGCCCACGCTCATAGGGACGACCAAGGTCTCTGTGTCTTCATGCTTAAATTCCATGCATAAGAGGTTATTTACCCTCGACGGTTACAGGTTTTGGCACTCCATAGCCCCACGGTAGGGGTCCAGGGGAACCAGGAGAGGACACAGAAAGGACATGCCATCAACCTCAGAGCCGTCATTGAGGGGAATGCCTCTGCTTTGCAAACATGCGAAAACAGAGACAGCAATTTGCTCTTGCACGGAGCGTGCACTATACACACGAGACACTCTATTGTGCATGGGTTCGAGGTTAATGGCAAGAACCCTAGCAGGTAGATCACTATGGTAGTGTGGAAACCTATGGACCGCGAAATCCCTGAATTCTCCCTGTCCTTGGGTTCGGTTCAGGTGCACAAACTCAGGCAAGGTGTCAAAGGAAATCTGGCCTTCAGGGCATTCGGTATACTGTAGGACGAAGCACACACCTTGGCACGCACACGCGCACGCTAAGATCATGGATGTCCTGACGCCCGAATTGGCTGTGTCTCTCTTGCGGGCAGAGGATCCTGTTAGCCATGGGAGTCCCCATGGGTGCTGCAGTGTGCGATCTATACATGTATCTTCACATACTACTGCAGCCACCTGTCCTTGAAATATCAGGTCTAGGATCGAGTCAGAATTGTTATGTATGTGCTCAGAGTGAGGCGCAACATGCACTGTGTTAATGCTGCTGCCGTTCACTCTTGCACGTATATCAGTAAAATGCTGGGAATCAAAGTCATGACGCGGCCGATGTGTTATATGTATGATATAGTTGGCCACGTGCTGAAACTGTAAGGACACTGGATCGGGAGCCACTTGCTGGTCGCTGACTGCAATCTCGAATTGACTTGCATCAAACTTCCGCATTGGCTGCACTCGATCCTCCTCCTCCTCCAAGTCATCCTCCTCCTCCGCCTCCTCCTCCTCCCCAAGCCAACCTCCTCCCTCTCTCCTCCCTCCCTCCCCCTCCAATTCTCCTCCCCTGCCTCCTCTCCCCCGCCCCTCCCTCCTCTCCACCCCTCATCCCTCCCTCAATCCTCCTGCTTCCCGTCCCTGCTTCCTACTGCCTCTCATTCCTCTTCCTCCATCCCTCATCCATCCCTTCTCCATCCCCTCCTCCTCCCCTCCTTCCTCGGTGCTTCCCTATTTTTCCTCCTCCAATCTGAAGCTGAAGTTTGTTTCAGAATATTTCCTGTGCAAGGCAAATGGTTTCATATGTAGCATGTGTCTCCGTGGTCCCGTCCTGGGACGGGGGCGGGCGCCGCGGGAGTGGAAGGGTCAGAAGAGGAGGAGAGGAGAAGAAGAGAGAGAGAGAGAGAGAGAGAAAAAAAAAAAGAGAGAGAGAGAGAGAGAGACAGTATGTCAAAGTAGACGAACAACAAGCAGACGATGAAGAGAAGGAGGGAGACGCAGAAGGAGCGAGAGGTGGATGCACGCATTAAACCATATGTATGTATTTGTACACCAATAGATTCCAGATGCCAACATACATACATGTAGATATGCAACTAGACGTATTCAAATACATGCACGCACCTACATACAAACACACACGCATGCATCCATACATAGGCATAGACGTAAAGTCCCCGAACAGTGGTGAAACTGGGGGGATCCGGGCTTGAGGTTTCGCCATGTTTCCGCTCATGACCACCTCGTGGGCGCTCCGTGTGCTGGATGGGTGTGCCGGGGTTCCGCCACGCTGCTCCCCGCGGCCGCCCCGAGGGCGCCTCGTGGGCGCTCCGTGCGCTGCGTGGGTGTCCTACAGTTCCGCCTGGGTGGAAGGCTGGTGCACCGTCGTGCGTGCCGTCTGGGCGCCCCGTGCGCTTGGTGGGCGCGTCGAGGACTCGCCTGGTGCCCGGTTAGTCTTCCGAGTCTCCGGATACCCCTGCCAAGCCTAGATATTGCACCCAAAGAATCGGGCAAACGGCCAAACGGAAGCATCATCGATGTCCCGCAAGTTGCTGCATAATGTTGGTATACCCGTTTCTTCGGTTCCCTGGGCGTGCGAGATCGCATAAGAGGCATCTAATATTGCCTCACGACGTCTTCGACTGAGCCAACAAGAGCCCTACGACCGCTCAGCAGGGTACTAAGAGGGCCCCACGAGAGCCCCAAGACGGCCCCAATACGCCCTCAGTCCCAAAAGAGCGCCCGAGTGGCCGATACGACAAAACAAGTACACCCAATAGGCCACGAAACCGCAACAGACTGTTGACTGACCTACACCGATGCTAGGTTTCGCATCCCAGAAGCTGCAACTAACCTCCTCCTCCTCCTCCCTTTCCTCCTCCTCATCCTCCCTTTCCTTCTCCTCCTCCTCGTCCTACTTCTCCTCCTCCTCCTCCTCCTCCTTCAGATCACGCTCCTGCCCCTCCGCGATCCAGGCAAGACTTTGAGCACTCCCTGGTTCCGACCCTGACGTGTCGATTTCCCCGAACACTGCAGGAATGGCACAGGAATTCGACGCCAAGAAGCATATCGAAGTCTATCTCGAGCCTGGGATGACCTGGAGGAGAACGGAGACTGCGGAGCACGAGCAGGAGCAGGAGCAGTCAGAGAGGGAGGAGGAGCGGCGGGAGCAGGTGCTCGAGGCGCAGCAGGAGAGGGGAGGAGGAAAGACGAAGGAGGGGGAAACAAGAGGAGGAACGGAAAGAGTAAGGAAGATGGACGTCCAACCTTCGTGACGCTGCCGTAGGAGCCGTTGCCAAGCGACTCTCCGAGGGTGACAAAGTCCTCCTTCTTGTAGCGCTTGAGGAGCTTCTGCGCACCAGGCAACACAACAGTTCACGCGTCGTGAAAGGATCGACAACGGTGAGAAACGTCGGGATGCTCCGATCGTACTCGGTACGTCTACACTCACCCAAAGCTTAGCCACAAAGTTGCTACAACACACGGAGCACCATACGCACGCTGAAGCATTGAAACTGGTTCGCGCGCGTGAGGCGGAATACGCCAAAGACATCAGATACAACACCACTCGCCCGCATAATTGCCCTTTTCAGGGTGAAGCCTGACCCAACCATACCGAGTGAGCGAACCAAATCTGGGTTGTCCATCCCTGTCTTCCTCCTCCTCCTTCTCCTCGCCGCCTCCTCCTATTCCTCCTCTTCCTTCTCCTCCTCCGTTATCCTTCCGTGTGTCATCCTCCTACGCCTGCCACCTGCATCTGATTCACCTATTCCTCCAACTCCCTGGATGTACGTCCTCCCTCAACCACCTGATCCTACCCCGCCTCATACGACACTTCTCGCCTGTTCCTCGTCCATCCTCCTCCTGCTTCTTCCTCCCCAAATCCAATCCTCGTTCTGCTTTCATTCACCCTCCTTGAGTAACCTTTCTTGTTATCTCACTCGTTCAGGAATCCTGTTGACTCCTTCTCCTGCTCCGTCTGCTTCTCCTCCACCTCATCCTCCTCCTCCAACTCCTCCTCCAACTCCACCTCCAACTCCTCCTCTGACTCCTCCTCCTCACCCTCACTCTCACTCTGCCACTCGGTCTTCGCATGATCCTGGTCAACTGTTTGGTTCGCCTTCTCCACCTCCTGCTCATCATCCTGCTCGTCATAATCATCAGTATCATCCTCCTCATCATCAGCATCATCGTCGTCATCATCACCACCACCACCATCACCACCAGCAACATCATCATCGGCAGCATACTTATCATCATCAGCATCAGCATCATCAGCATCATCAGCATTATCAATATCATCATCAGCAGCATCGTCATCATCACCAGCATCAGCATCAGCATCATCATCATCATCCTCATCATTATCATTACCCTCGTCCTCAGCATCATTATCGTCACCACCACCTCAGTATCATCATTATCACCATCGTCAGCATCATCATCATCACCATCATCGTCACCATCATCTTCATCACCATCACCCGCATCTTCATCAGCAACAGCAGCACGATCATGCGCATCATAAACATAAACATAATCACCAACATCGGAAAGAGCGTGTTCTACCGCTGCTGGCGGAAAACCAAAGGGGGGTCACTACCGGTTCGACCCACCCCCCCTCCGGAATACCAGGGGGGGTCACTACCGGGTGGAACCCGTCCCCCTCCCCCCCAGTCCATCATGAAAAGGGGGGAGGGGTCACTACAGGTTCGAACCCCCCCCCCTCGAAAACCGAGGGGGGTCATTACCGGTTCGAACCCCCCCACCCTCGAAAACCGGGGGGGGGTGCGGACAGTGGTGGGGACGGTGGTGGTGGGGACAGGGGTGAGGGGACAGCGGGACAGTGGTGGGGACAGTGGGACAGTGGTGGGGACGGTAGTGGTGGGGACAGTGGTGAGGACAATGGTGGGAACAGTGGGGACAGTGGAACAGTGGTGGGGACGGTGGTGGTGGGGACATTGGTGTGGGGACAGTGGAAATGTGGTGGAAACAGTGGGACAGTGGAGGGTACAGTGGTGGTGGGGACAGTGGTGAAGGCGGTGGCGAGGACGGCGGTGGGACAATGGGACAGAGCCACAGTGGGGACAGTGGTGGGGACAGTGGGGACAGCTCAGTGGGACAGCGGAGGAGTCAGTCGGACAGTGGGGACAGTGGGGACAGTCGGGCAGTGAGTGGGGAGAGTGGAACCGTGGTGGGAACAGTGGTGGGGACAGTGGGGACAGTGCGACAGTGGTGGGGGCTCTGGTGGGGACAGTAGGAACGGTTGTGGAACCAGTGGGGACAGTGGTGGTGAGGACAGTGGTGCTGGGAACAACACTGGGGGATGTGGTGCGGACGGTGGTAGGGACTGGGAGTCGTTTGCTGGCGGTGAGGGGGGGGGTGGGAGGGGTTCGAACCGGTAGTGACCCCCCTCCGGTTTTCGAGGGGGAGGGGGGGTGGGGGGTTCGAACCGGTAGTGACCCCCCCCCGGTTTTCGAGGGGGAGGGGGTGCGGTAGGGGGGAGGGTTAGGGGAGAGGGGGGTTTTGCCGGGGGAGGGGAGGGGGGAGGTCCAGCAGGGGGGGGAATTTTCGATGGGGGGGGGGACCTTTTCCACAGTAAAGCGGCGGTGGATCACGCTCTCTCCAATATCGTCATCGTCATCAGCAGCATCACCATCATCATCATCATCATCATCATCATCATCATCATCATCATCATCATCATCATCATCATCATCATCGTCGTCATCGTCGTCATCACAACCACCACCACCACCACCATCATCATCAGCAGTATGACCAGCATCATCACAATCATCTTCTTCTGCCTCAGCATCCACATCATCGTCATCAACAACCTCGACATATGCCGCACCAACATCATCCGCAACCGCATATGCATCGCCACACGCGTCAATATAGTCAACATCCTCATCAACAGCAACATCATCATCGTCAACATCATCAGCATCATCATAATCACCATCATCATCATCATCATCATTATCATCATCATCATCGTCATCATCGTCATCAGCATAATAAGCATCAGCATCAGCATCAACATCATCGTCATCATCAACAGCAACATCGCCGTGCACTAGTCATGATCATCGTCATCCGTATCATCAATATGTGCCTCAACATCCTCACCACAACCACCAGCACCGTGAACATCCGCATCAGCATCATCATCGTCAGCATCATCGTCATCACCAGCAGCAGCGTCAACATCCTTATCATCAGAATCACAATCATCGCCGTCAGCAGAAGCAACAGCCTCACCATCGGCACCCTCACCATGCGTACCTCTCGTTTTTAAACACCGTGCCTCCTGGCACGGCTCCCCCTCCCCACGCGCCGCTCAGGTGTTGCATCGCACGCCCCCATCCCTTTCCAGACAGCCGATGATATGATTTTTCAATCCGCGGCGACAGGGTCCTCGATCCCTTCATTGGAATGTCTGTCCGCTCCAAGTCCACCTGTTTTAAAGTGCCACGGCCCGAAAACGGCCACAGAGGCCGAAATGGCAATAAAACATACTGGGTGTAGAAGCAAATCTTTCGGATGTTTGTTGCGAGGCTTCCAGCTTCCTGGACTGCCAAGCGCCTGGCCAGGGCTGTCCACACCTCTCGAGAACTTCACGGACGGGGTCCAAGATCGGGCGCCCCGACGCCGCGCAAGGTGATCCCCCTGCTGCTCCTGCTGCTGCCCATCGTCGTCATCATCGACGTCGCAACAGCAGACACCATTGCCATCACCATCACCAGCGTCATCACCACTACCTCCATCATGACAACATGATCGCCATCCTACGCCTCCACTGTAATCATGCTCCATGCTCTCCTTTCTCCACCTCCTCCCTCCTCCTCCTCCTCCTCAGGTCGTCATCATCAACCTGCGTCCTCCTCCCCACTCCTCCCTCCGCTTGAGGAACGAACAATTGCAGAACCTTCCCGAGCTCCGCGTGGATTTCCCGGATCGGCCCTGGAGCCTCCTCCCTGGCGCGCTCAGCGCGCCAGGGGCGGCACCAAATGTACCGCCAGAGAGGCACAGCGCCGATCCAAGAGATCCGCGTGGACCTCCGATGCCGTCGTTGCTGCTCGACCCTCGCCACCCACTCTCCCAACTCCTCCTCATCCTCCCCCCCCCCTGCCCCTCCCCTTCCCCCCCCCCCCCCCCCCCCCCACCTCCTCCTCCCTCCTCCACCCTCCATCCTCGCTCCCCCTCCTCCATCCCTCCTCCTCCCTCCTCCTCCTCCTCCATCCTCGCTCCTCCTCCCTCCTCCTCCTCCTCCATCCCTCCACCTCCTCCTGCACCCTCGCTCCCCCCGCGCTGTGGCGGCGCGGGGGCCGCGCGCCGTGACGGAAGGGCGCTTCTTGCCGTCCGGCGCCTGCGAGGCGGGGGGCCGTGAGGGCATCGAGGGGGAACGGCAGGGGGGCCCGCTCCTCAACGAAGGATTGCAAAACCAAAAAAACAACAAACAAACAAACAAAAAAAAACAAAAAAAAACTTCGTAGGATTGCAAAACAAAAACCCTTGAACGAAGGATTGCAAAAAAACACGTTTGCAATAATTCGTAGTTTTCTTTTGCAATCCTTCGTTGGTTTTTTTGCAATCCTTCGTTTTGTTTTTTTTTGCAATCCTTCGTTCGGGGGAGAGACATCACCCCGCGATCGACGATGCATCGCCGAGCGATCGGCGATAGGCCTCCGACTGCGAATCCGCACGTTCCTGTGCGGGGGGCCATCGGGCCCGCATCGGCGATCGATTGGCGATTGGGGGCCGATGCATCGCCCGCTGAGCCTACCCCCCCCCAAAGTTGCCCCTGAGGGGGGTCATGACTGACGAAGGCCACCCCCTGCGAGGTCCGAGGATCGAGGCCTTCGGGCCGGAGGCCGCGGTTTGCGGGCGCTCCTGCTCTTTTGGTTAGGCCTTCCCGGTAGCTTCTCGTCGCCACGGCTGGATCCGCCTCGATATTCTCGCCATAACGCACCGGGGACACCGGGGGGCGATCTGACCTCCAGACCCAGACCCTAGCGCGGTGACAAAAAACACTAAGTGTTCGGCCTCCAGGAGCCCTCAACAGACACGGGTCCTATCAAACAAACACGCTGGAAAACCTAGCCAATTGGAATAGGTCGAGACCTCCGTGGCTCACATTCCCACAAAATGATGTCAGCAGAGGCCTCCCCAATGAGGTCCGAGTAGATAGGGTCGGAGGAACGCGCCGCATCGCCGATGCATTGGCGATGCATCGGCGACGTCGACGAAGCATCGACGCTGACGGCGTGGCGAAAATCGGACTCCGCATCGACCTGCATCGCCGATGTATCGGCGATGCGGCGCAATCCTCCGACTCAATCTACTCGGACACCGTCTGGGAGGCCTAGAGCCTAGACATCAACCTTCGCAGGTCCGCGCGGATGTCCTTGTTCGGCGCTGGACCCTTCCTCGCCACACCCGTTGGCAACGCATCCTGCGCCGCTCGCAGCGCGCTCCGCGCACCAGGAGAGCGGCGGTGTGGGGAGGGGGACGCGCCGAGGTCGCGCAGCTCGCGAGCTTCGTGCGGACTGCGAGTTTTGTGCGGACTCCAGCTTCGCGAGAAGGTATGGGAAGGCTTAGCGGCTTACACGCGTGCGCGTAGATTTTGACGTAGAGCTACACGCACACACACACACACGAAATCAGAATCCGCATATCTTTTCTGAGAGTCGGTGGAATAGCGTAAGCCGCTGGTGTTCGCCCAATCGCCATATTGCACTGCACACCTTGCCCCACATAGGTTGCACCACAGACATTGCACCCGAGATGTTGCACTACATAGCTTGAACGACATATCGTTCCCCACCAACGCATAGATAGCAAACGTGGCCAACATACCTATATTGAACACCAAAGCTTGAACCAAATACAAATAGATGTTGTTTGTTTTGTCAGCGGCGAGGCGGGGCAATCTACTCCAGCGTGGCAGCGATGCAAAGACACTAGAACGCGAATTGGCCGGCATGCAGGAGGAGGAAGGACAAAGGACAGGGCGGCCGCGGGCGGGACCACACATAGACACAGACACACACACACACACACAGACATATATATATATATATATACACATTACAACGCAACTATTGCAGCACATAGCCTACACATCCAGTGCAAGGAAATACTGGTTGGGGTCCACGCTGGCAAACATTCTGCGCAGGTATATAACACTTGCTGCCTCGACGGACCCCAAAACCATCAATTCGTGCACCCTGGATGTGCACGCTGCGTGGCGGAAGGTATGCGGTACAAGACATGTGGTGCAATATATGTGATGCAAGCTACGTTCGGCGGCGAGCGAGGGGGAGAATGAGAAAAAATCTTCCCAGAAAGCTCGAACGAAGTCCCTGGCTTTCTGGGAAAAGTTGAAATGCCCCGAACACAGAAGAAACTTCTCAGAATGCGCGAGGGTGTCTGAAAATTCCCGTCGCCTTCTCGGAAGGCATCCTCCGTCTCATTTCCCCCCTTCGCTCGCCGCCGACTTGTGGTGCAACACTGTGGTGCCACCGACCAGGCGCAATGCCCGTAGTGCAACCTGCGTGGTGCAGCCAGAGCACGAGGAGCCCACGAGGCGCCCGCGAGGCGGCCACGGGCGCCGACTGGGCGAAAGCCCAGCCAACGCACGGGGCGGTCACGGACAGGGACCAGGCGCAACACCTGGAAACGCCGGCCAGCGAGCGGGGAGCCCACGAGGCGCCCACGGTCAGTGACCAGGCGATACACTTTTCCGCCGGCAGGAGCGAGGAGCCCTCTCGGGAAGTCGGCCCCCCTCTGCGCGCCGTCGAATGGGGGGGCAGGGGCGTAGGAAGATAAAGAGGGATATCAGAAGAGGGATCAGGGTTGGGGCAGACGAGCAACGGGAGAGGACGAGGAGGACGGATAGGCGAAGGATTGAGTAAACAACACGAACAAAGGAGGAGAAACACGTTTCCCTGGGAGGATTTACCTCCGGATGGGCGTGAACAGCACCAGCTCAACGTAGAGGACGAGGGCGACCACGAACTAGAAGAGGAGGAACAAGACCGCACCCCCGTCAGAACCACAAACGGAATAATAAATGGCGAGGCCCATCTTGAGCACTACACTCGAATACATCGAGCCACATGCACGACAAACGACACGGCGCGACCAGCACAACGATGACCGGAAAACCGCCCACGGTACCCTCGCCTCAAGCGGCCAGGCACGCAGTCACGCAATGAATCATAGCACGCATGGATGAAAACCGTCACCAAACAACGAAATACTCCAAGCATGTGGGGAAACGGAATATGTCATGGGAGGTGGAACGCAGCTGCCCAGAGCCCACGGGGGGCATCGCAAACGCAACCACATGGAAAAAACAAAACATCGCGGACAGAAGACATGACCTGTACAGTGAAGCCACCGTTATGATCTGTCACGTGAATGTGAATAATACGCATCCATTGCTGCCGACACGAGTAACTGCACGAACTCTTTCCACTCCGTGTGCAGCGAACCACGCCAAGGCGCGCTACAGACACGCCCGGGTTACTACTCGACGGGTGGAAGGATACGGCAAACGAGCTTATATATATATATATATATATATATATATATATATACATACATATATATACATATATATATATAAAACACGTTCCAAACAGGAACGGGAAGCGCCGCTTTTTTGGTTGCGAGGCTCGTTGGGCGCATGTGGAGAACAGCGTGCAGGACGTCAAACACAGCGCAAAAGAGCAGGATGATCATGAGGGGATGGCCGGAGAATGACATGGAGTACAAGGGTTTGAAAGACGAGCGCGAGGGAGAAGGGATGATCAGCATAAAGAGACTATTCAGCATGGGGAGGACGAAGACGATGACGATGAGAACCACGACAACGACGACGATGATGAGGATGACGACGACGACGACGGCGGCGACGACGACGACGACATGGGAGGCAATGGGCGTCTGCTGACGACGCCGTCGCCCTCCGTTCTCCCCAGCTGTCGTAACTTCCATGCGTGTTTTGTTATGCGGTGGTTCAGAAAAAAAGGTTACCGCGTCTTCAGAGAATGCGGGCGCAGTCGAGATGATTTAGCGTGAGAGCTGGCAAGCTACGCTACTATGCCGAAGCGTCTCAGCAAGTCCCCGACAACGGAGCAACCCGACAATGTCTCGAGCGAAGCGCTGAATTTTGACATAAGACGGCCTAGACGAAAACTTCCAATATTTCGATATTGTGAGAAAATCTCGAACGCGACGCTCATTTTGGGAATCCGCGAGGTCGCGGGATACGTGTATAAAGAGACCCTTGGTAAGAGATGTCCCTCCGGGCCAAGAAGCCACGTCCATCGCGCGACTCTAAAGAGTCCAAGCGTGCTTCCCGTCATCCGCCACGTCCCGATCAAAGCCCCATCCCGCCACCACTCCTCCCCTGAACCCCGCACTCCCCCCCTGGACCCCTCCACTTGATAAATATTCTCCATCGCGCGACTCTTCAAATCTAAGCGCGCTTTTCGTCATCCGCCACGTCCCGGTCAAGGCCCGACCCTGCCACCACCCCTCCGCTGGACCCCTCTACTTGAAAAATTTTCCCCCGTCCGGGCCGAGGGGCCACGTCCATCGCGCGACTCTTCGAATCCAAGTGCGCTTCCCGTCATCCGCCGGGCCGTGATTTTTTTGTGATCCCGAATCCTTCCCCCCTCAGACTCCCCCCTGTTGAAAAGATTTCCCTCTCGCGTGACTCTTCGAGTGCACGCGCGCTTTTTTGAAGACGCGACCCCGCTCTCCGAGGTCTCGCGAGCTCCCAAATGGCCAGCCACAAGACCGACTAGCGCGCATGCGCACCCGCAAACGTCAAATACGAGGCTACCGCCCGCCGGTGGAATGCCCGCGCGACAGAACGCGGCCCCGTGGCCGAGCGCTGGTGGCAGGCCGTGAGTTCAAACGGTGCAACGCACAGCGTGCAGGGCTAACATAGTACAGCGCCACAAGAGCCGCCCTTGCCAGCATATGCGAAGTCGGCAACGCTCGACGTGCAATACGGAGAGGCGGCAGACGGTCAGGTCGACCATCTGTCTGCGGCTGCAGGCCGAACCAAACTCAAAGTCACCAAGCGGCGGGCCTAATACTTTCGACAGCGAAGACAAGCACAGGCGTCGGGGGGGAAAAAGAAACTGACCAAAATGATGGTCGGCGCATCACTTGGCGCGGCTGGAGAGCGGGACGTTGCGGGTCGCCGTAGCCCGCGGAGTCAGCTTTCCGTTCGTGCGCGCCCTGAGATCACTGAGCTGTGAGCCGTAGTCCGCCTCGAACCAGCGCAGGTTGACCGGCTTGAAGCCACGCCACCTAGCCGAGTAAGTGTCCCGTATTTGCCACCTAGTG